TTAATTAATATAGTATTTTGTAACCATTTTTGTTGCTTCCATGACTTGTTCTTGATTTGTTGCAAAATATTTCATCTTATTTTGGCATTAAAATTATAAGGCTAATTATGTTATTTGAATTTTGATTGCATTTAAGATGTTTGTAAAAATGCCTAGTTTGTTAGTGATTTAAACAAAAGTATTTTGGAACTATATTTTCATTGCATTTAGATGTTGTTGAAAACTTGTGATTGATTTAACATGTTCTCCGAAACTTTATCCCAAAATATATTTAGTGATATTCACATGAAACAGCTATAACTTGTGGTTAGGACCTCTCAATTTGTAAGTTAGGGCAAATAGATATTCCAAGTGTTTTTGGTAATGTGTAGTACATATTGTTCTAGTTGAATTAAATAGCCATCTGAATTAAATCTTTTGTTTGATTGGTTTATATATATATATATATATATGTATGTATTGAAATTCGAATGTAGTTCACATACAATAGAAATACTTCCAAAAATGCTAATCAATTAGTGCTTGAACTTCACTTGTATCCTTTTTTAAGCATGAGCAGTTGACAAGATAACGAGAAAGTGACTCTAACCAACAAAACAACCTTGAAAAGCTAAAAAGAATTGATGTATATGATTTTAAATTTTAGGTAAAAAGTAGTTGACATGAAGCTTATGCTTAATAAAATAAATTTCCCCATCCTTTTTCCTAAGTATATTGATGCTAAGAGAATTCATGAATTATTATCTTTCCTCTAAGTGTGGAGGCTTTCCTAGCCACCATGAAAGATTCACCAAGGATCCTCTAGAGTGAAATTTCTCTAAAGTTTCCTAGAGTGCTACATTGTGTGGTTGAGATTTACTGGCAAGTCACATCAGAAAAATTGATGTGACTTGCCAGTAAATCTCAACCACACACTGTAGCACTTTAGGAAACTTTAGGAAAAAATCACTCTAGAGGATCCTTGCTCAGAAAGATTAGTGCGAAACTTTAGAATTGAAGTAGTAGGTAGTGTGAGAAAGGGAAAATTTTGAATTTTGCTTTCCTTGTTTGTTTGCACGATAAATTTATCATGACAATGTTGGAAAATGCAAGATTGTTAAATTTTATGTACAATCCATAGTAACATGGTAAGTTGCCTTTCAATTTCTTGCAAAACATACATAAATGTTTCTTGCAAAAAACAAAGAATGTTTTTTTCACTATTTTGTGACTTTTGATTTCCTATCTAAACATGCAGTTTTTTCACACTTTGTTAATTTTGACCTAACGAGTTGTACTTTGTTTTTCGAGTAACGTTCTTACGATAAGGGATGTGCATAGTAGCATTTCCTTTATATATGTATATTATATACTTGTAAAATTTATCTTATAAATGCTATATTTTTTGGAACAAGTATCTTAGATGATTAGTTTCAGTTGGATTGTTTATATACATATGCCTAAGAGAAGGGATGAATGTCATCAGGATAATGTAATTTAGTAATTTCAATTTGGGGAACTACATCCCAAGGACGCTAGGGCTGCAATTAATATATCAATGAGGAATTTTTTTATAATTACAACTAAAATGAGAAGGTGAAAAGTAAATATAAAGAGGCGGCAATCACCTATTTGATTTACCAAAATATCATTCTCTTCATTTTTCCTTCCCTTTGATTTAGAAATATGGTCATTGAGTCCCATACAACCAATTTCCTCCCTCCTTGACCAACCCCCAACACCTTGCCTGCCACCACTAACCCCTCACCCACCTGTCCCTTCCCTTCTCCACCACTTGAAATCCCTTCCCACCCATTTCCATCACTTCCTCACAATACTCTCGTCTACCTCTTCTACATAAGCCCCTTCCAACCCCACCCAACCTAACACCCTAATCAACCCAAACCCAAGCCATCAGAACCCCCCAAACTCCTCCAGTCCCTCTCCATCTCTACTTTGCACCATCTCTCTCTTCACTATTGTTCAAAGATACAAATCCAAACTATGTAAGGTGGTGATGATCTACTCCCAATGTTTTGGCCTGATAATTACATGATATGTATGGAGTGGGAGAATAATATGTACCCAAGAAATTAGTCCGAGCAAGGCCAAACACTTTGGTGACCAACAAAAAAAAAAAAGGAAAAATCATAAAGGAATATGTATCAAACTTTTAAAAACAAAGAATAAAAGAGAGAATATTTGTGTTATGTATTTCTTTAAATTATTAAATGGTTGAACCAACAAGTAAAATGATAAAGAAGTGAGCTTTAATTTTTGTATGGATTTTTATGCACAGGTCAAAACATCAAGATTGATTATTTGGTACCTAAATGTTTTGGCTTGTGCATAAAAATCCATACAAAAATTTCTGGAGACTTAAAGCTTATGTGCCCCACTTCAACGTAAGTTTCGTCACTAATGGCTAGACTCAAGAGTTGTATCCATTCACATTTTGAAAAATCCGTGTGAAAAAAGAATCCGTTTCAATATGCTACCCCTCAAGGGTTGCATATAATATTCTCCCTAACTATTGGCTCTTTTTATTTATTTATTTTAATTGCTCGAAGGGTTGGTTTTGGTACGTTAGTCTAAGTCTTTACGCAATGGCTATTGATAGTTCAAACAAATGTATTAAAAGTTTCATCTCTTGTATTGTTTATGTGGTTTGTTTATGAAATGGGTTTGATGGGTTTCCAATAAAATGAAGAGGTATGAATGATGGATGTCTATTACAAATAAATTTTCTAACGAAGTAGTGGTTCTTGAATGATAGGTTCATGTCTATTTCAAAGTCAAGGTTTTGGGAATTGATTCGTTAAGATCACAACTTTCAGTTAAGGTTGGGACTCACCTTTTGCATCAAAATCCAAATTTAGCAAAAGGTAGAATGTTGGAGGTTTTAAAGTACTGGGATTATCTTACTAGTTTTATGAAACATAATTAAGAGATGTATTTTTGGGAATAGACTCGTGCACTTGTGGTAAGTGTTTTAAAAATGGTAGACTTAGCAGGAAAACATGGCAATTTTTTCTGAGCTTTCCCTCCCTTTGAGTCTTCTTATAGGTTTTGCTATTCCCTTTGTATTATGTTAGATAGTGCCTAGATTGGTTTATGAGGGTGCCTTATGGATTAAAGGGAAAACAATTAAATATTGTGCAATTGCACACTTACACGCCAAAAAAGAAGAAGAAGAAGAAGAAGAAGAAGAGGTTTTTGGTTAAAAGAAAATACATAACATCTTTCTCATATATTTTTGTTGGATATGTCGTTTGATATTTGAGCAACTGGTGTTTGTTATTTGCTATAAACTCTTGATTGTGATGTGCAAATCCGTAAGTCTTCTTTGTGGTAATTGAGGCTTCTTTGTAGCATTGATTTGGATTAGGGTCTTCTTTTATTTTGAAGGAGGAGGTGTATCATTGTCTTATTAATTATTTATGTTTAAATTTCTTTCTTTCCCTTATTGAAAAAAAAAATTATTGATTAATTAGTCAAAACTTCCTCTTTTGCTTTGAAGTTGGAAAAAACTAGCTTTCAATCTAAAACTGCTACAACGCACGCTTGCTATTAGCTTATTCATTTACTTGAGGCATAGGTGAGATAGAATAGGACTTCTTTTTAGCCTCAAAGCATGTCTTACTTAGTTAGTATACACAATTATTCTGTACAGGACTTGGTCTCTGAGTTGAGTTAGATTAGGTATTGTGAGAGTGGCAGAGGTTTGGGCAACATCTAGGTTTTCTGAGGGCCTGCTTGTTTTATTCTTTGATGTAGTAGGGTGTGGGGTGGTTGTGTTTACCACTGTTCAAATTTGCACAATCTCTGGATGACTATGAATCTACACTAAACCTACAGTAGCGAAGATTACAAATACCAATTGTGCAAAACCCACCGTCACAATTTGGAAAAAAAACAAAAAATCAACATGCATTCAATTTTAAATCTGTACTAACCCATGACTTTTATTTTGTCCTCCTTAGCAGGTATAGCCATTCGGATTGGTAAGGTCCTGGATGTGGTGAAGCGATTGGAAAACACCCAAGCTTGTATGGACAAAAGGTAGGTCTAGATGTACGAGGAACTAAAATCTATGTAAGTGACATTGAATGAATTGACAAAAAAAATGTAGATACCTCTCATGAGGATGGAGGACAAGGTGAGGATAAGGAACACGAAGAAGAGTTGGGAAGAGATGAAGATGATGATAAGGGAGATAAAGAAGAGTCGGGAACAAAAGATGTTGAAAACGAAGATGAATTTCTAAGGAGCCTTGACCTTGGCCTTTTCATTGTTTTCTATGCTTAGACTAAACTGATTGTTGAATATGTTATGAGTTTTGTGGTTGTCCCAATATATTTATGAACACTTTTTGCTTATTTTTGAGAGTTTAATATGATATGTTTCGTGTATACAAAAATTCTTAGTAAATATGACCTCACCAAGTTGTTTATTGTTTGAAATATGGTAGCAAATTGCCCTTTTTTTTTTTTTTCTTCTAAATTTTTGAAAATTGTCAATAAGGATAAGTTACTTGATGTTTGAAATATGATGTATTTTGCTTATGTTTAATGTATTGAATAGTAATTTATGAGGAGATTGTGAATGATACAATTTGTTAACTTCAAACCTTGTTATTATATTCATTTCTAATTTGGAAACCTATGGCCTGACTAAACACTCAAGATTTTAATTTTTAGCTTTTATTTGGATTATAGTCGATGGATTGGCCAATTGATTTCTATCAAGGCAATGCACTTTCCAATTTCCAATCGATTGGTAAATTGATTGGGAACCTATTAGTCAATCAATTCTTACGAGAAAGTGAACACCACTCAATTGGCCAATCCATTTTGGAGCCCATGGCAATGACAAAAAAAAAAAAAAAGGTTTGGCATCCTTATATAATTTACTTAAATATTGTTTACAATCGATTCATAGTGAATCTATTAGGCACTAAGCATGTTACAATCTCACAATCAATTGGAGTAAATTTGTATTGTTGGCTGGCAATGGTACACAATCAATCGTGCAATCAATTGCTCCGTACTCTTGCAATATGGATGCATTTTGTGCCAAATAGATTGGCATCCAAAATCAAATTTACAACCTTACACATCAATAATCTACACATACATGGATTACCAAAATCAAATTTACATCCACATTACATCATCCATAACGAAGCCATCCAAATTACATCACATTTAAAAAAAAAAAAAAAGGTCCCTAGTCAGTTTTGGTGAAGGGGTTAATCATCCATGTCCATTTGTTGGCCTTAAATCATCGCCAGAACCTTCACTTCCATCAAATTTCTCCTTATTATAGGAACATGAAATGGCCTTATCCCCATATAAATCATCAAAAGTATATGCCTCATTATGAAGGTCAACATTAGGAAGGTAAGGATATTGTTATCGTGTCGCGTACCAAATATCAAAGATTTTTGAGATAGGATAAATGCTGTCATTAGAAACTAGACACATTTTTTTTGTTCTTGTTAGAAAATGGACCTTTTTACCACATTCAGTGCTTCTCATCAACATGCTGACTGGCCATACCAAAGTATTCATAACGAAAGGAACATAGATATAATTTTTTTAGTGTGGACTTGAAGTGACAAGCATCCAAATCTGCAAGTTCGAAAAAAAGAAGCAACGATATAAAATATCAATTTCCATTAACTATTAAAGTAGCAATGAAATAAATTTAAAACTAAAAACAAGAATAAAGAGATTCTTACCATGTGAAAAGAGTCAGCCAATATGAAAGAACATGTGGGAAAGAACATAAGCAACACAAGTCTTTCAAAACATGAAAACTATAAGTGAGGAACTGCCATTAAAGCACCTTACATAACCAAATAAAAAAGTCATATCAGCAAAATAATAAAATAATTCAAAAGCATCTAATTTCACAAGGGCCAAGTGAAGTTGAACAAAGACACAAAATCAATGAAATCCATATTGTTTAAATCTCCACAGTTAAATATTCATAATTCTTCAAGCTAAATATAAAGTTCCTTACTATAGATACAACCTCTATCAACATCAAAAGTATTTCACAAAAGCCTAAACATATACATTGACAAGTCTCTTCCTCCAAAAACAACGTTTAACCATCCATCTCCAAAAAGCCATATCCAAATCAAGGATGCGTATAACCAACTATACAAAAAGATATTAGAATCTTAACTGAGACAATTGACTGCTGTTTGCTTCTTTGGGGGGGCCAATTCACCCAAATTTAAGTGTCATGTGTAAGTTTTTAAACAAATTTTGAAGCTTGGGAGGGGCCTTGACCTCCCTTCGCCACCCCTTCAGTCCGCCACAATACATACATATGTATTAAGAAAGTTAATAGACATACATTTTTCAAGTTATATGTACATAAAATCTATAAAGCAATCAAGATTCTCTACTCGTCTTTAATTGAGTTAGCCATGGTGTTGCTTTGTGATAAGTTTAACAAACATGGTTATTTTAATTGAGGGAGGGTGGAGTGTTGATGGTTCAAGTGATGGAAAGTATTGACAAGAGTACTTGCACAATTCTTTTTCACAGTTTTTCTAATGAAACTTTGTATGAAGCACATGAAATGCACATATGGTAGTGTCATTAGGGAAATTTAGCATTCCAACAAAGCAGTGTCATTAGGAAAAGATCCATAACAATAAGCTTGAATATATCAAGGCAAATACAAAAACATTAATCCAATTGATTAATATATTACATTATATAAATTGCTCACTGGCCAGAGGGAGAAGCCAAGAAACCAACAACTCATTGTCATGGGTGTCATCACCGACAGATTCCCTAACTCATTGATGTCCACTAGAAGTATGAAGTATCTGTGCAAATCAATATCATTTCTTATTAAATATAAAGTACATAGAAAAAATATAAGATATTAACTGGATCACCTCTGCTACATGTCTTAATGTAGACACTCATCTTGTTAGTGCTCACTGTTTACATAATGCGAGCAACATGCTTTCTTTTAAACATTGTAAACTGCAATTAGACTTGATAATACAAAATATGGATAAAAATAATAATAATAAAATAAAGAAAAATGAACATTTCATGAAAATTATATTTCATTAATTGGATTCATAATACAAAAACCACAACACATTCAACTATTCCATCCTTTGAAATAAAATGCTTTATTTTTTCCTTAACAAATTCCTTCTTTTGAGAAGGGCTAATTTTCTCTCTATTTAACGTGTATTACTCTTTGTCAAACACACATCATATTGATTCAACAATATTTGTATTAGTTTTATCTTTAAATATTAGATCTCTCTATTTAACTTGTATTACTCTTTGTCAAACACACATCATATTGATTCAACAATATTGGTATTAGTTTTATCTTTAAATATTAGATTTTCCAATATTATATTATAGATCCATAATAGGTATCAAACTCAATTACAAAATCAAAAATAAGAATCATTCGTAAATAGTTTAGCAACCACATCCGTTGAACAGTCTACGTAATCAAAAAGTTTTGGGTCAGAAAATGAAATCTACTCCTCACAAGCATTGCAATTTTTTCCACAAGATTATTTCAATTAATTCATTTATGTAGATGACATTCTTACAATTTTCAATTAAAGCACAAGAAAGAAAAGAACTCATTTAAGGTTTCAATATCCTGATTGTTCCCGACGTTGTTAGGATTACAATCCTCATATTTACAAAAAACATAATTTTAATATTATTCAATTAAACAAGCATACAACAATCAAACTTTCGTGATAGGACTACAGAAATAACTAACCTTCTGGCCATTAGGAAGAATAACATGGTCCTTTGCATTAAATAACTAAGGCCTACAAACAATAACAAAAACATAAAAATTAGAACTTCAAAAATGGACAATCATATAAATAGATTTACAAATATCAATAGAGAGAACCAGAGATTATAGGGTTGGAAACAATAGCACCAAAATACAGACTTTTTTATTATAGAAAACATAAACATAGCTAGGGTCTAGAAATTAGGAAAAGGATAGGGAGATAGAGAGAAATCGGATTAACCTGTGCTGGGTAGAGATTGAGACGGGTGGGTGTAGAAATCGGCAGCAGCAACTATGGATTCCAAGGAAATTTCCAAACGAAGCGGTACAGTGGTAGTGTGTGGGTGTAGATAGAATGGGATGAAGAAATCGCTGGAAAATTGCCTAGAAACTACCATTTGAAATCACAATCCACCAAACAATCTTCAAACTGCCGCTCCACCAAAGGACTCCCTCTCTCTCTTGATTGATAGGAATGGAGAGGGACCAGTTTGAGAGGAAGGAGTTACATAGACAGAGAAAGAGAGATGTGAGAGTGAGATGACTACGGTTTTGTTTTGTTAAAAAATTAAGGAGGGAATTTTAATTTAGGTAAAATTTTGGACATTTCATTTGAAATTTTGGGAAGAAATTTTTGAGGCAAAATTTTGTAGTAAACACAAATTTTTTGTAAGTCATCTCATAACAGTTTTGAACACCACAAAATCAAGTAAGTTTTCATAAACTCACGTACATTATCTCACAAAAATGCGTAGGTAACACAAATTCGAGTAAGTCATTTGACAAAATTTAGACCAACACAAAATTAAATAAGTTTTCACAAACTCACGTAAATGATCTCACAAAAATGCGTAACTTAGCACAAATTTCCCATAAGTCATTTCATAAAAGTTCTGAAAAACACAAAATAAAGTAAGTTTTCACAAACTCGCATAAGTGATCTCACAAAAATGCATAAGTAACACAAATTCTCAAACTAATAGCATATGATGAACAACCGAAATTCTCAAACTAACACAAATTATATTAATATTTGATAAATAACACTAATTTAAATAATGAATTATTTTTTTAAATTCAATAATTATCTTTTTAAAATAACAATTACTATGTTTTTTTTAATAGTTTATATTTAACAATTAAGGATTATTACATTTAAGACAAATTTTCATTAAACAACATTAACACTTGGGTAATTAGTAAATTGCAATTAATAATTTTCATAAAAATCCGCTTAAAAGGCATAATATATGCCTCAGTTAAGTAATGATACATGAATTGGAGATGATGCATGGGTTCTAATGCCATGTATCCTATCATAATATTGGCAGCCACCGACACTGTAAAGACCCTAAATCAATTTTCTACAATCAGCAAAATTAATTAACTAATCAATTGCACATCTAAAATTTTGCAAAATCATTGATTAACTAATTGATTGGAAGAATTAGCCACTCCATTCGATTGCCCAATTCATTGGATGGCTTGACCAACACTAATCCATTCACCAATCGATTGGAAGGTTTGTCCACCACCAATCAATTGTGCAATTGATCGGATGGATTGGCCAACACTAATAAATTGTTCAATAAAAATTATAAACAATCATATGGTATAATGCCTCCCAATGTTCTAAGACCGGGAAAAAAAATCTTATTACTATTTTCCTTTATCCATTATTTTAGGGAGCAAATTATTCATTAAACAAACAATAGCTACTAATGATGAAAGATTAAAGAGACTCAATTTTCTAAAGTATAATCAGTTATATTCTGTTACCAACATTCCACGACTACTCTTCATATGGTTTCAAACTAGAAAACACTTTACTTAAATAAAACAAATAAATATAAATCCTATATTTAGGTAGAGTATGACAAATTTAAAGCTAAAAGTAAAGGCAAGGCCTAGAAGACATTCATCACATTGTAGAAACAAATTGTGAACAACAAAAATAAATAAATAATAGAATGAAAATCATGGCATTGACATTTTACCAGGATACATATAACATCAAAGTTTTGTAGCAAACACTTAATCTATCCCCAACTTAAAATAATTACCTGATCCAATCATTGAACCCCCAAAGTTAAAGCAATGTCAAAACTTCAATATGATGAGAGATTCACAAAATTTTATCAATTTTGTAATTTAACTAATTAGTCCAAAATTTACCTTGTTTTTTTTTAAAAAAAATTTATCAACAAAAAAAACTTTTATTAATGAAACAAATATACACAAAGATACATATAGACGTCGATAAAGGAAGGAAAGTGCTAGAGCATCTCACCCTTTTCTTGGTCTACTAAAGACAATTTTACTGAAAAACTAGATGAAGGTCAAACCAGCCAAAGATCAATGTGGATACATTCATAGAAACTACTACATTCATAGATAGAGCAAACCTAGTTACTTCATGATCATGAGCCACACAAGGTCCTCTAGTCTAAACAAAACAAGAGTTAAGAAAAGACAACAAATATATGACAATCACCTAGCATAACCTCTATTTCAACACTAGTTCTACGCATAAAATTTAACTCATGAACAATTGATCGAGCTTCACTTTCAACAATAATTACCTAAACAAGTGGCAAAAATGCCACGTTTATCCATTAAGCAGATCTAATGGTAGCCACATTTAATGTCGACAAATTGATTCATCATCATTTCAACTATCTGTATTGGGTTTCCTATGTTTTAAGTTCAATTTCGTCAACTATGCATGAACTTCAGCACTCAAAGAAACATTTGTTTCTAAACATAAGTTCCGGAAATATAAAGTCTGATTACTACAACTTTTAAAACAGAATTTAAGCTTTGATAGTTGAGACGCATTAAATGACTCGGTGTGTTTTGTGGTTCCTTAAGAGCAAATAACCCTAGTCACTATTGCAAGTCACAAGCATCAATGAAAAAAAAATAAAAATAACAGAAAATAATTTTCAAAAACTAAAGCAAACATAGTATATACTTAGCAAACATAAGATGACAAATGAACGTGTACATAATAATGACCACCTATTACATCCATTAATTAGTTTCAAATTGTATAGCCATGTTAATCTTGACTAATTGTTTCAGTAATCCAAGATTCAATCAGCTAAGCTAAATTTAAACTCTGCTTATCAACACAAATATTCACAACAGGCCATAAGTTGCCGTAGCACATAAACAATCAAAACTTTCCTTATAAAACCATAACGATAATGATAACAGTAACAAAACTTCAATAGCACTTACAAAATATAATCCAACATATCCAAGTAATGAACCTACCAAGCCCATAGAGAGCACCTGGGGCAACATAGATTTAGCGACAAAACATTAAAATAACACAGAAACAACTCTATCAAGGCTTAAATGAACTTCAAAATCACATAATCTCAAAAATTACAACTGGAAAAACAAAATCAAATCTTTCTTCAAAGTGAATGGAACTGTATGAAGCCGGATTTTCAATTCTTTCTTCAAACCAATTACTAAATTCAATCAGATATTTTTGCAAGCACTTGAAGTACATCTCACAATCCAGATTTCAAACCCATAATTACTATTATTTGTTGCCAAAACCAAGGTAAAAAAGAAGCAAAGATGCAATAATACAAACTACCATTTTTTTAAAGATGTTGTGAGTGTCACAAAATTGCTTAATCAAACTAAAGCGTCAGTGACATAATTAACAGTTACCCTACAACTATAAAACAAGTACCCCACCCTAGAAAAAATTTAATCGAGAATAAAATGACATTCAAAAACTAGATCATACATATGAAATAAACTCAACTACCTCATAATACCCACTACATTAACATAACAAATATTAGAAAAGAAACGAAGATAAGTTCCTAATCAAAATCAATTTGAGAAAGTCAAATTTTGTTAATGCCAACACCCAAATCTATCCTTCATCTTCCAAGTTCTATCTTTATCAGATTTCCACATTCTCTACCAAAACTTAAAGCTAAAACACCTTTTTCTCCTTAACCGCTATCGTATTCTCCCTGACATCCTTCTTTATTGTCTCCAAGTTGTTCCCCAGCACTTCCATCCCACTTTTCATCTCCATCTTCATGCTTTTTATGCTAGCTATAAGATTAGTGAGAGCAGTTTGCAACTCCTCCGACTGAGGCTTGGCTCACTGCTCAACAGACCCCATGTATGATGCGAAGGAAATAATTGTGATTATAGAGGAAACAAGATGGAGTAAGTCAGCCATGCTAGAACCACTTTTCTTTCCTTCAAAGCCAACGACATATATAGGGTTGACCCACTTCTTTTGGACAATCAACGACTTACCAGCTAATGCTAATAGTTACAATATTGTAGCTGGAAAAAAAAAAAAAAAAAAAAAAAAGAGGAGATGAAATCACTACCTCTCCTAAGGATTTACCAATTCAAATTAAATGCCAAAACTATTCAACCTAAACAGCCAAATCTGCAGAAAGCAAAGCTCCTAACCTCTGCATGTATGCAACATTGACAGATTATAAGATAACATGTTCAGCATGCGCTACCTGGATCAGTTGATAGCAGCATAAACTTTTGTGTATACTAGCAAACATAAGACATGACAAAGGGTAGAATCTATCAACTGATCAAGATAGAGCATGTTGAACATGCTATCTTATAATCTGTCAATGTTGCATACATTCAGAGGTTAGGAACTTTGCTTTTCGCAAATTTGGCTATTTAGGCTTGAATAGTTTTGGCATTTAATTTTAATTGGCAAATCCTTGGGAGAGGTAGTGATTTTTTTTTTTTTCTTTTTTTCAGCTACACTATTGAAACTATTAGCATTAGTTGGTAAGTCGTTGATTGTCCAAAAGAAATGGGTCAACCCCATATACGTCATTGGCTTTGACAGAAAGAAAACTGCTTCTAGCATGGCTGACCGACTCCATCTTGTTGCATCTATATTCACAATTATTTCCTTCGCATCATACATGGGGTATGTTGAGCAACGAGCCAAGTCTCAGTCGGAGGAGTTGCAAACTGCTCTCACTAATCTTATAGGTAACATAAAAAGCATGAAGACGGAGATGAAAAGTGGGATGGAAGTGATGGGGAACAAGTTAGAGACAATAAAGAAGGATGTCAGGGAAAATAAGACAGCGGTTAAGGAGAAAAAGGTGTTCAGCTTTAAGTTTTGGTAGAGCATGTGAAAATCTGATAAAGATAGAACTTTGGAAGATGAATGATAGATCTAGGTGTTGACATTAACAAAATATAACTTTCTCAAACTGATTTGATTAGAACTTTTCTCCGTTTCTTTTCTGATATTTGTTATGTTAATGTAGTGAGTATTATAATGTAGTTGAGTTTATTGCATATACTTTTCTCTTAATGTTTGGATTGCATATGTATAATCTAGTTTCTGAATTTCTTTTTATTCTCGGTTAAATTTTTTATGGGGGTGTGAGACTTGCTTTACAGTTGCAGGGTAACTGTTAATTTAAATGTCACTGACATTTTAGTTTGATTAAGCAATTTTGTGACTCACACAACATCTTTAAAAAAAATGTACCTTGTATTATTGCATTTCTGCTTCTTTTTTACCTTGATTTTGGCAACAAATAATAGTAATTGTTGGTTTGAATTCTGGGTTGTAAGATGTAGTCCAAGTGCTTGCAAAAATGTCTAATTGAATTTAGCAATTGGTTTGAAGAAAGACCTGAAAATCCGGCTTCATACCCCACCCTAGAAAAAATTTAATCGAGAATAAAATGAAATTTAAAAACTAGATTATACATATGCAATAAACTCAACTACCTCATAATACCCACTACATTAACATAACAAATATTAGAAAAGAAACGAAGAAAAATTCCTAATCAAAATCAATTTGAGAAAGTCAAATTTTGTTAATGCCAACACCCAAATCTATCCTTTA